AAATATAATTTCCCAACTATCAATCACATTCTTATTTTGTATAATTCCCTCAACTGGCATATAATATGAAATCTTTCAGACGGTTGAAAAAATATTTAAAATATTATTACAAACTATTTTAATATTTTATTTTTCTTTATCTTCAAATCGTTTTATTTGATTATTTACTTATTTTTAATCATTTTACGTCATAAATAATAAAAGATGCTTCCAACCAAACCCTTAAGTGGTTGTACGTTGATTAACTCACCAAAGCCCGTGGATTCCTGATTCATCAGATTCTTTAGATCGAACGGTTATTAACTCACCGAAGCCCATGGATTCCTGATTCATCAGATCCTTTAGATCGGACGGTTATTAACTCACCAAAGCCCGTGGCTTCCTGATTCATCAGATCCTTCAGATCGGACGGGCTGTGCCGATTGCGTTTGATCCAACCGGCTGCAAGAAATAGGACAGCGGTGGTGGATCCGTATCTCGACGTCCACGCCGGAATAGGGGAAGGGGAAAGGGAACATACGGGGTTTGATGCTTCGCCGAGAATCGTCTTCAATCTCTTCTATCCGAGGGTGATGGCAGATCCATCGTTGACGGGGGCACTCCAATACCTGGAAGCGCAGAGGCATGCGCAGCCGGAGCTGGCCGATTGGTACAGCGCCTTTGCGGATCTGTATCAGCGGAAGCTATGGCACCAGCTGACGCTCAAGCTCGAGCAGTTCGTTCGCTTGGCCGTAGTCCAGGTCCGCCACTTCCCCGACTCCTATTTGCGCGTCTTTGTTTGTTCTAGGGCCTAGTGGATTCGGTTCCAGTGCGTTTGATCTTCTTTCCGATATTTGCGCTCCGTGGGATTTGAAGCAAACTTGGGGCTTTCAGTATGCATCATTTAGATTTGTCGGATGATGTTACTTATGTGGGTATAAGTCAGACTGAAAGCCAAAGATCGAGCATTATAAAGAAAAATAATTTGATTTTTGCACCTCTAATTGATGAATTATTTTCTAAAACAAAGTTCGATTGCAAGTCACTTTACCTATATATAAAAAAAGAATCGGAATTCCTTCGAAATCTGAAGTATCAAGTAATCAGAGCGAGCGGGGAGAGAGAGGGATTCGAACCCTACGAATAACTCGTACAACGGATTAGCAATCCGCCGCTTTAGTCCACTCAGCCATCTCTCCCAATTTAAATAAAATTGAAATTTCAACAAATATGTAACCCTGTATCCGTGTGATTCCCGTTGATCAGTGTTGGGAACGTGTGTTATCAGCTACAGTTGTTAATAAATAACCAATTTTATTGAATTCTTCCTTCTGATACGGCCACCCCAAATTTGACTTTGTTTCTCACTTTTGGCTAAATATTGAGGAGATGTGC